CCTAGGCCCCACCCCCAGGCCATGTGGTCAGGAGACAAAAAGAAAGCCCAGGAAAAAAAACTCAGCAAGGCATCCATGCAAACAGACCTGGCCTTTGCCCTCAGCTCAGCTTCCTAGGGAAAAGGGTCCTGGGTCCTGGGACACGCTCTTTTAAAGCAGGAAGTCCCACCCCTAGGCCCCACCCCCAGGCCATGTGGTCAGGAGACAAAAAGAAAGCCCAGGAAAAAAAACTCAGCAAGGCATCCATGCAAACAGACCTGGCCTTCGCCCTCAGCCCAGCTTCCTAGGGAAAAGGCTAGTTGTACTAACAAATAGCCCAAATATTACCTAGGGCAAGACCTTCCATGATGGCCTCCCACAGGAAGCGTTAGAACTGTTCTTAACTATTTAATGAACTACTTGAATCTTATTTTTCTTGAAGAGGAATTTCCCTATGGACAAACGTTTCTGAGTCTCAGTGTCCATCTTGGCATTTGCACGAAACCTGATCTTAGTGCCACGGCTACCCCTTGTCTTAAATTATTGTAACGCCCTCAGCCCCTGCAATATTCCTTTCCTCCCCAACCCCAACAGCGTATCCTTTGAGTCTGCTGCCATGCCACTCTGAAGAAGAATTCCCTACTCCATATTCTACCACTCTACCGTCACCCCCTCCCCTGCCTCAACCGCTAGGCCAGAACGAACAAGCCATGGAAGCAGGCTCTCCTCCACTGACTGGCCCCTCAGCTGAGTCAACCCCTTCAACAATCCTTTATACATCCCCTGAGGATTCTTCCTCCCAAAGAATTCCTGTCCGCCGCAGGCGAGCCCCTCAACTATATGATCCAGATGAATATGGTGCATCAGGAGGCCCAGCCATGGCCTTCCCTCTTCTCCAAGTTCCTCTGGGCAACCATCTTGTTTATGTACAAACCCCATTTACCACCTCAGATCTCTTTACAAAGAGAGTCCACAGGCCTATGTAGAATTGGCTGAACGCATTATAGCCATTCATGGACCCAACATTCTGGACCTTTTATCCCTACTAATAACCTTGCTCTCCCGGGAGGAATGGACCAAGATACTAGAAGTTACTCTGGCCACTTACAACCACTGGCGCCAGGATTGCCTGGCCATGGCCAACACCAATCCAGCTCATTACACTGAAGGTCTAGTGATGGTCAACCCGAACCCTCCTGCCATAGCCAATAATCCTAATACACCTAAGACTGTTTCCTGTCATTGAAAGGACATTCCAGCCTCCAAGAGCACCAAATCATTTCAGGCAACTAACAAATGTTTATTTAATCAAATAGTGGCTGAAATTATGTTGCTTAGTGCAGTAAATCACAACAGAGTAGGCCCACAGACTCAGTGGGGCTTTCATGAATCAACATCTTCATAAATTCTACTGATTCAAATGTTCCTACTGTAGTTGCAACTTACCATGCTAAAGTATGTTGCACTTAAGAGCAAACTTCTTACAATCAATGGGACTTATGGAGGAGCTCTCACCAAATCCCCCAAATGTACCTATTTTACTGTAACTTACTACTCTAAGCAACAGAATTTCACCCAATATTACTATAGAAAGGTTACTATAGAAATACAAATGGAGGTCAAATAAATGTACATAGGTTGTATGTGTAGTTTCTTAATATGCATTTTAAAATGAAAATATACTCCTATGAATTTACAACCATGACTACCACCTCTAGTAGTTAGTAGTAAAACCTACCAATAGCATTTGGTATTTTTAAACCTAGTTTACATTTTTCAAAAACTGAGCCTGATTTAAAATTCAGGTGTTGAAAAAGATGTCAGCTAAGATTTTCTTGGAGAGCTTAGAAGTGTTTGTTCTGGAAATCCATTAAAAACAACAGAACAAATAAATATTGATTCCAATTTCCATGCTGTTTATTTGCCAACTTGACATTAATATGACTATAAAAATCATAAAAAGCTGAGAACATTTGACAGGAAACTATTGTTTTCAATATCCAACACAAAAGAAGTAGCTTAGCTTTTATGTCTTAGAATGTATTAGTAGAAACTTTGTCATGCATTCACACATTCTGGGACAAACAGACTAATACAGTTTTGGCTATTGGAGGCAAAAGCAGAACATAAGTTCCAAATAGTATAATCAGAGCTAAATTATGTAAATATTTATAAAAGATAAGATTCCTTATCTGCTCTGGGTTTTGCCTCATGTTTCAAAGAACAGTTTGATCCAAAATGATTGCAAAAGTGGAAGTCAGAAGGTGATGGCTCAAGAGTTGCTCAGCTTGGCACTAAAGCTTTTTACAGGGGTCTGAGCTTGGTTCTGCCTGATATCCATTTTGGGGCCTGCTGTGGACCTAATTTAAAAAAAAAAAAAACCATCGGCAGGACTCCTGATAATGCAGATACCCAGGAGAAACCTTGGTAGTACATGATTCAGCATAATTTGCTTCCTCGATTTCGCAAGCTGTGAAAACACAGTCATAACCATTACACTACAGAACAAAGATACCATTTTCCAGGACAAAGAAGAGACCCTGCACTGCAGATACAGATTCCTACGCTAGGTATACATTGTCCATAAATATATAGAGATTCACATGGACATTCACCACGCTAAGTCTAGTGGCACACTAATTTTCTAGGCTTTTCTAAGAACACACCATTTTAACAGATGATAATGAAATGCACCAGACAGAAAGTAAAATTCTTGCAATCTGCTCTGATTCCACCAGAGGGAGACAGCAAGACCAACAGATTGTTTAGGCTTTTTTAATGTATAAAAGTGTATATTTAACACACAAATGTACAAATGGTGTAAAGAATGGAGTCTTACCCAATGTACCTTTCTGTTTTGGAGTGACTCAATACTCAGTGGCTAGAAGCCAACTGAGCCCATCACGGATTGCTGCCTTGCTGTGGTGAAGGGGCTTGAGTAATTCAGAGAAGCTATGGGCTATGTCGTGCAGGGACACCCAAGACGGACAGGACATAGTGGAGAGTTCTGACTAAATGCGATCCACCTGGAGCAGGAACTGGCAAGCCACTCCAGTATCTTTGCCAAGAAAAGCCCATGAACAGAAACAAAAGACTAAAAGATATGACACTGGAAGACTAGCCCCTCAGGTCAGAAGGTGTCCAACATGCTACTGAGGAAGAGCGGAGGGCAAGTACAAGTCGCTCCAGTGCTAATGAAGTGGTTGGGCCAAAGCCGAAAGGAAGCTCAGCTGTGGACATGCCTGGAAGTGAAAGTCCGATGCTGCAAAGAAAAATACTGCATAGGAACCTGGAATGTAAGATCTATGAACCTTGGTGAGCTGGATGTGGTCAAACAGGAGATGGCAAGAATAAACATTGACATCCTGGGTGTCAGTAAACTAAAATGGATGGGAATGGGCAAATTCGATTCAGACGATTATCATATCTACTATTGTGGGCAAGAATCCCATAAAAGAAATGGAGTAGCCCTCATAATCAGCAAAAGAGTGGGAAAAGCTTTACTGGGATAGACTCTCAAAAATGATAAAATGATTTCAATATGAATCCAGGGCAGACTTTTCAACATCACATTAATCCAAGTTTATGCACCAACCACCCATGCTGATGAGGCTGAAATTGACCAATTCTATGAAGACTTACAACACCTTCTAGAACTGACACCAAAGAAAGATGTTCTTGTCATTATAGCGGACTGGAATATATACGTATAAGCAGCACGCTTTGGAATGCTAAAATGGGGAGTCAAGAGATAAAAGGAACAACAGGTAAGTTTAGCTTTGGAGTTCAAAACAAACAGGGCAAAGGCTAATCGAGTTTTGTCAAGAGAACAAGCTGGTCATCATAAAATCTTTTAAAACAACGCAAGAGGGGACTCTACACATGGACATCACCAGATAGGCAATACTAAAATCAGATTGATTATGTTCTCTGTAGCCAAAGGTGGAGAAGCTCTATACAGTCAGCAAAACATGACCTGGAGCTGATTGTGGCTCTGATCATCAGCTTCTTATAGCAAAACTCAAGCTTAAACTGAAGAGAGTAGGAAAAACCACTGTTCTAGTCAGGTATAATCTATTCTAAACCAAATCCCTTATGAATATACAGTGGAAGTGAAGAGCAGATTTAAGTACTGTAACTAGATTTTGTGGACAGAGTGCCTGAAGAACTATGGACGGAGACTCGTAACATTGTACAGGAGGCAACAACAAAAACCATCCCAAAGAAAAGGAAATGCAAGAAAGTAAAGTGGCTGTCCAACGAGGCCTTACAAATAGGAGAGAAGGGAAACAAAATGCAAGGGAGATAGGGAAATTTACAGAAAATTGAATGCACATTTCCAAAGAATAGCAAGGAGAGACAAGAGGGCCTTCTTAAATGAACAGTGCAAAGAAATAGAGGAAAATAATGGAAAGAGAAAAACCAGAGATCTGTTCAAGAAAACTGGAGCTATTAAAGGAAACTTTTGTGCAAAGATGGACATGATAAAGGACAAAAAATGGTAGGGACCTCACAGAAGCAGAAAAAATCAAGAAGACGTGGCAAGAATACATAGAGTAATTATAGCAGAAAGATCTGGATGTCCTGGACAACCCAGATAGTGTGGCTGCTGACCTTGAGCCACACATCCTGGAGAGTGAAGTCATGTGGGCCTTAGAAAGCATGGCTAACAACGCCAGTAGAGGTGATGGCATTCCAGCTGAACTATTTAAAATCTTAAAAGATTTTAAAAACTCTGGGAGGCAGTGGAAGACAGAAGGGCCTGGCATGCTTTGGTCCATGGGGTCAGGACTTAACGACTAGATAACAACAACAAAGAAGCCAACTGGTACTGTATATTAAAACCAGACCACAATCCAGCCCAATAGTAGAATAAACACCAACAGCACTCTCCAAAAGTGTGCAGCTGCTATGAGAACATGTCTCTACTGGAAAATGCTAACATGCATCCTTATGCCTGTATATTAGGACTAGTAATCCATATTAGAATGGGTATCTTCTCTTTTCACATTGTAACTGCAGTGTGGGACCTGCTCTTCCAAAATTATAATGTAAATGTTCATATAATAAACAGTCTATTGTGGTGTTTTTTCTGATTAAGTAGTTTCTGCCCCACCATCTTACTCTGTATTTGTTGTTGTTTAGTTGTCCGACTCTTCGTGACCCCATGGACCACAGCATGCCAGGCCCTCCTATCCTCCACTGCCTCCCGGAGTTTGGTCAAATGCATGTTGGTAGCTTTGATGACACTGTCCAACTGTCTCATCCTCTGTTGTCCCCTTCCCCTCCTGCCCTCACACTTTCCCACCATCAAGGTCTTTTCCAGGGAGTCTTCTCTTCTCATGAGATGGCAAAAGTATTGGAGCCTCAGCTTCAGGATCTGTCCTTCCAGTGAGCACTCAGGGTTGATTTCCTTCAGAATGGATAGAACAGATCCCCTTGCAGTCCAGGAGACTCTTTTACTTTTTAACCTATTTGGACATACCCTGCCCCTCTAGACAAAGTCTACTCGGGGCGGCTTACAGGAGTAATAAAATACAATAAAATAAAATACAATAAGATACATAACAATAAAACCTACTAACAGATGCCTATATAGATTATCAATATGAAATAATTGAGAAAGTATTAGAGTGCAATATTTTATTTATACAGGTATGTTTACAATTTTCTTTTCTACTCCTTCAGGAAATGAACAGAAGAATTAATTTAATCAAATGTATTTTCTTTCCTGAGGGCTTCTTACTTTTGCAGAACTCAATTTTTAGAACTGAAAAAAAGCAACTGTGTCAATAACTGATGCTCAGTTCAGCTCCTGTCTTTACAGGTAAACCTTTTTAGAAGCAAGCACTTAAATGAAATAGTTTGAGAATTATTTTGGTATCTGTTTGGAACCCATACATTTTCTTTAGGCTTCACAATATATCAAAGCTCAGAAAGGGATCTATCAGCAGTGTCTTACAGGATCCTCACAAGGTGCCAGCTCCTGCCTTTTAGAAGGCATGTTCAGGCTTGTTCTGGCAGAAAGTCCATGCGATCTGCTGCGATGAGGATGAAAAGCAGTGGGAACTATTATTATTATATTATAGATTATGTTCAATGTATACTATAATGGCACCTTATATTGATATTTTAATTTCTGGCATCAATAAATGTCTGTTTAGGAACTGAGAGAAAAACGCCCCACACCACAACGTTGTCCCCATCATACATTGGAAAATCCATCTTGGAAGCCCGTATTTGGAATCTGTTATACGAACTTCACATTACAAAGATGCTCAGCAGCAGTTCTCTCTCTCCTTATATGGGTTTCTGAAACTCTGTTTTGTACAAGTTTGTGGGCGGTTACAGACGACGCCAGACGCTTGCCTCAATCTGCCATATACACCTTCCCTTTTCTTAGTTACACGTGATAATTTCGCCGACGTTCCAGACCTACGTTACATGATCCAAAAATACGAAACTATGGGAGACCATCTGGCTCCCTCTTAAGAACACGAGCGCCCCTTTCCAGAGACTCCAGCTGAAGGACTCCCAGCCGGGTCTGCCCGCGCTTGTATTTATGAAGAACGGTTCTATGGCCCCCATCATGCTTTGCGAAAGGACGGCGATTCTCCCCCCCACCACGTTTTAAACCCTCCCTCCTTTCCGTCTCTCCCGCCGTTCTTTCGCCTTAGCTACTACGCAACTCACGCTCCTCCCTCCCTTCGTGTTTTCCTCCTCCCGCCTCCGCGTGGAGTTCTTGTTTCGCGAGTCGCCGGCCCCTCCTCTCGCGATACGTGGCCGAGGAGCCGGGACTGCAGCAGTGCTCCGGCGTGCTCGCCCCTGACAGGAGTGGAGAGGATGTCGGGGCGCGAGGGTGTTTCTCCCTGAGGGCGCTTCTCGACGTCCCCCATTTCCCACACCATCCCCGTCCGCCTTCCCTCCCTGGCGCTCCCTGCAGCCATGGGCGGTTGCTTAGCCAAGGAGCCCCCGCGTTGAGGCGCTGTCGCCGCCCCTGCCGTTGCTTTCATCATGAAGAAGGGGCGCTCTCGGGGGGACAAAGCGGGGCCCTCGGCGTTGCCGACCCCGAGGAGGATGGAGCAGACTGCCCGGATCCCGATAGAGACCTCGGAGAGAAAAAGCGCTTCTTCCGTGGCGAGCTGCGGGAAGGAGACCGAAGAAGCGGGTGGGGGTAGCGCCGCCTACAGGGAGACGCCCGAAAAGGTACTGGGGGCTGCGGCACGTTCTTCTTTTTTTTGCAAGGAGGGGAGGTAGCGAAAAGCGGGGGGCGGGCGGGGGGAAATGGAGGCTTCACAGACACTTATCTGAGGAGACAGGTTAAAAGTGAGGCGGCTCTGCGGGACACTGTTGTGGGCAGCCCTTTTTGTATGGTGTCACTATGGATAAGATAGCGTATGCCTGAGTGGTAGGAGGAAGGATCCTTCCTGTTGGAGGGAAGTTAACTCTTGGCCTGGTCTTGTGGGATGCTGTGCCAGGAAAACCTTGCTGAGATATTCGTTGCTTTCACAAAGCTCCTGGCGATTTTGTATTTTGGCGGGGGGGGGGCAGAAGAGCAAGTAAAAGGCTACTTTTCTTTCTGTTTTAAAAAACACTATTGATACCAGAGGATATGTGTGTAGTTATAATGGTCTGGTTTTTAGTAGGAAAAATATCTTGGATAAAAGCAAACAGACTTTTTTATTTTGGTGGGTTTGATAGAGAATATGTAAGAAAAGTCTTTGGTTCTGGCCTTGGTTATTTCAGACCAACCTGTGGAGATTGCCATGGGTAACCTGAGGCTCAACTTGTCTTTATTGGTAAAGACTGGCTCTGAGTTGCTTCAGGCCAGTTGCAGTTTCAGAAAGTGCCAGCCAGGCATGTTCAGTCCATGATTAGACTCATGTCTTTCCAACCGGGTACTTTTTATTAATGCATCGGTTGCTTCAATTGAGGTGTATGAAAAATTGCAGCAGATGTGTAGCTAACATATTTATCTATTCTTTGTTTCCTCTAGCAACTGGAGATCTAGGGCTAGTCTGAACAAGATGTGCATAAGTGATTTACTTTGGTGGATAATTGTTTACAGTTTGTCACATCTGTACTTGTCATCTGTCCCTGTCAGTGGAGAATAACAGTGTGCGTGGTTAATCAAGGTAAAACCTAGAAAAGGGCCTGTCTTGTGGGTAGACCAAAGGTGGAGAATCTTGACCTTGGGCCTGTTTATAGACAACTAATACAATCCCATATCATTGGCTGTACTGGTTCTGGCTTCTTCTAAGTTAAATCTAAGACGTCTGGAGGGTCCAGCATTCCCCATATTCTTGACCATCTGCTTTTTGGCCGTATTTATGTATCATTAGTTCTCCTAGTCTCCATTATCATTTGTTAGGCATGGTGTAGTGCAGACACAACCAAATGCTTTGTGGCACTTCATTAATAAGTGAACCCTACTGTGATTACATCCATATTTCATCAGTAAGCTTCCTAGCCTGTTGTAAGATAAGTCATTGAATGTGTAGAAGAAACAACAGTGGAATGGCCCACTATTTGGAAGATTGCATGGACTGTGTACTTGTCAGATTTTCAGTCCAATTGAAGCTGCATTGCATGTTACAGAAGTATGGCTTACTTTCTGCAATATACATTCTTATGGTTCTATAGGATTTGAAAGGAATATTTATACAAAACTGAGGGAGATGTCTCAAAATTTAAGGAATTAAATGCATGTTCCATAGTGATTTGTGTGTATCAATTTCCCCTTCAGAGGGACGTGGTGGCGCTGCGGGCTAAACCGTAGAAGCCTGTGCTGCAGGGTCAGAAGACCAGCAGTCGTAAGATCGAATCCACGCGACGGAGTGAGCGCCCGTCGCTTGTCCCAGCTCCCGCCAACCTAGCGGTTAGAAAGCATGCAAATGCAAGTAGATAAATAGGAAACACCTTGGTGGGAAGGTAACAGCGTTCTGTGTCTAAGTCGCACTGGCCATGTAACCATGGAAGATTGTCTTCAGACAAAACGCTGGCTCTATGGCTTGGAAACAGGGATGAGCATTGTCCCCTAGAGTCGAACACGACTGGACAAAAATTGTCAAGGGGAACCTTTACCTTTACCTGTTTCCCCTTCAATCATAGCAGTAAGGATGCGACTGACAACTTGTGGAAGAGCATGTCTATCTTTTCTGTAACACCAGAAACAGTTAGTAGTACTGTAATTGTATTAAACCTTTTTTGCCTGTATGTGTATTGGTGGATTAGATGATGCAAAAAAGTATCAGTTGACTGTATGTATAACAAGATCTAGTGGCATTTTGATGTGAAAAAATGAGAAGAGAAGCAGAAAACTGGTTTTTTGAAAACCTTTCAGGTAGTGAAATAAAAATAATTACAAGTCTAAGCACTAATATGGGGTCTGGGTGGGGTGGAACCTGCCCCTTTCCACAGCCTGCTGAAATGATAGAATGACTGATCTATTTGGATTGATTGGCAAGGAATCAGACTTCTAAACAAGTCCAGATGGATTTTATAGTTATGTGGTTTGGCTGGTGATAGATGTTTTAAAGACACTGTGAAATCATGTGGCTTAAACATTATTTATCTATTATTTTTTTTGATGAATATTTGTTCTGATTGTAAAATGCTGTAGACTTGTATTCATGCAGTCTGTGGAACTTGTTCAGTAAACTACAAGGGTTAGGATAGTTAGATGTTCTGTGGTCAGTAAATATCATACCTTCTGATCTGAGAAATCTCATCTGAAGGTGCAAATAATAAAGCTGAAAACAATTCCTTTCTATACGTTGTACTGTCTGAAAACAGAATATCCACATCTTGCCGCCAGAGAATTTGCCTCTGAAAAATGATGTAATATGTAGCAGATAGTGGAGGTATGATTGCTTCTATGGAACTGTTTTCCATAACAGTTCAAGAGCCCTGTTGGACTAGACCAGTGACCTATCTTGTCAAACATCCTGTTTTTGAACCTGATACCTTTTTTTAAACTTTCCCTTACTGTTCATCCCCAGTACAGTAGTGCCTCGCTTAACAGGCGCCCCGTTTAACGACAAATCTGCATAGCGACGGATTTTTTGCAATCGTTTTTGCGATCGCATTGCGATGTTTCTAATGGGAAAAAATCCCTTTGCGATGATCGGTAAGCTGTTTCGCTTACTGATTTTCGCATAATGATGATTTCCCAACAGCTGATCGGTGGTTCCAAAATGGCCACCGGGTAAAAAAATGGCCACCCGCTATGTTTTCGCCCGGATCCCTCACTTACCGGGCAGTGAAAGTGGCAGCCGTATGGAGGAATTTCGCATAAAGGTGAGTTTTTTGCCCATAGGAACGCATTAAATGGGTTTTAATGCATTCCTATGGGCTTTTTTATTTCACATAGCAGCAAATCCGTATAGCGACAATTTTGGCTGCACGGATTATCGTCGCTATGCGGGGCACCACTGTAATTGATATTTTGAGGTATACTGTCTTGGAACATGGATGCAGTATATACTTATTGCTCTGGTTGCCATTGATATCTGCTGTATACTGTAGTATATGAAGTTGCCTAAAAAACACTTGATTGAATCAGTGAATGATTCATATACTGTATATCTTTCTCTGTATACAGATACAGACTACAGACACACACCACACACACATGCAAACAAGGAGTCACTGATTTTGCAGTATTTCTGTGAAAACTATTTACAGTGGTGCCTCGCTTAACGATGTTAATTGGTTCCATTAAAAAATCGTTATGTGAAAACATCGTTAAGTGAAACACCATTTCCCATAGGAATGCATTGAAAACCAGTTAATCCGTTCCAGTTGGAACAGATTAATGCTTGCAATCATTAGCCCACCTCCTGAAACCTATGCAAACTTAATTTGGTGTTGTTCTGAGTCGTCGTTAATTTTTGGTGATTTTTTTAAATTCTCCATTGAAAGCCTTTGAACAGACCATTCAAAGGCTTTCAATGGAGAATTTAAAAAATCACCAAAAATTAACGAAGACTCAGAACAACACCAAATTAAGTTTGCATAGGGTTCAGGCGGTGGGCTAACGATTGCAACCATTTAAAACAGGTTCCAAACCGTTTAAGACACTTTTACAGGAGCGAAAAAGGGACATCGTTAAGTGAAATTCCCCCCTAGAGAACATCATTAAACGATGGGGGAAATTCCTCAAAGAAACCCATCGCTGTGTGAATTCATCGTTGTATGAAGCAATCGTTGTGCGAGGCACCACTGTATTTAAATGGAATATATACATCTGTATGTGTATGTGTTGTTACATGCTCTCAATTTGCCTCCGACTTAAGGTGACCCTATATACGAGGGATCTCCAGAATGTCCTGTCCTCAATAGCCCTGCTCAGCTCTTGTAAACTCAAGTTTAAATAGTCAATCCATCTTATACTTGGGTTTCCTTGTTTCCTGCTGATGCCAAGATATCCAGCATTATTATCTTTTCAAGCAAATCTTGCCTTCTCATGATGTGCCAAAGTTGGATAGCCTCTGTTTCATCATTTTTGCCTCCAGAGCATGGTTCAGGCTTGATTTGCTCTAGAACCCATTTGTCCATTTTTCTGGCAGTCCAGAATATCTGCAAAGTTCTCCTCCAGTGCCACATTTCAAATGAATCATTTTTCCTGTCTAGGTTTTACACCCATATGTAGAGATTGGGAATACAGTACAAGAGTGTGGAAGGTCTTGGTCTCCAGTGACAACATCTTATACTTGATTATTTTTTCTAATTCCCTCATTGCAGCTCTTCCGGTCTCAGTCTTCTAATTTCTTGGCTACATTCTCCATTTGCATTGGTAATTAAACCAAGGTATTCAAAATATTTCAGTATTTCAGTTTCTTCATTGTTGACTTTAAAGTTGTGTTGTTCTTCTGTAATCAAGGTTTTTGCCTGCTTAATGTTCAGCTACAGTCTCGATTTGGTACCTTCTCCCCACATTCACTAAAAGTTTTTTTCAATTCGTTCCTGTTTTCTGCCAGTAAGATAGTGTTACCTTCATATCTTAAATTATTGATGTTTCTTCCACCAGTTCTCAGTTCTCCTTCATCTGAATTTAAACTGGCTTTCCATATGATATGTTTTGAATATAGATTAATCAGATAAGGGGATAAAATGTGCACTTGTCTTATACTTTGCCTATAGGAAACCATTCTGTCTGTCTATATGCTGTCATAGTGGTATCTTATGTCCATAGTACACATCAG